TTGCATAGAAGGGCAACTAAATAATCAAGGGGTTAGAGCCATTCCTCTTTGAGGAATGGCTTCAAATATTGGGATTGCTTAGCTTAGAAAAAAAGTAAGGGGGACATGTAGAGATGTTTGAAATTAGGTATGGTTGGAAAAAGTGGAAAGGGGGACATTTTTCTCCTCCCATCATAATACTGAAACCTGTGGTCATCCCATGAAGTGGATAGGTGGGAAATTCAGGGCAAATAAAAGGAAGTTCTTCATAACACTTAAATTATGAAATTCTCTGTCACAGGAAATAGTGATGGCCACCAATCTGGATGACTTGAAAGGGGATTGGACAAATTCATGGTAGCAGAGGCTATCAGTGACCACTTCTGTTATCAGAAGCAGTATGCTGACATACACCAGTTGCTGATGGAATTCTTGTATCCACCCTGCTTAAAGGATCCTAAGGCAGCTGGCTTGTCACCATGTGAACTGAAATTTGGACAGTTCATCTGATCTTGTGTGGCCTTTCTTATGTTCTTCGTTTGGCTTCTATTTGTTTACATGCTGTTAATAAATACTGTTAATTCAGCGTGTCTTTGAATCCTTATTATTAAACACTGTCCTTTTAAGACTTAATTTGAGTTGAATAAAGGATTATAAACCTTCAAAGAAAATTTGGAACCATTTATTTCTCAGGAAAATTTCTCCAGTATACTTGTCTTGGTTGGTAATCCTGTCAAAGCCCAAATTATTAAGTGAAGCAGGGAGATGGCTCACAATCTCAGCCAAGCTCCCTCTCCCCAAGCAGAGCCCATCCAGCTCCCTGGTATACATCTGAGCTGAGGGAAATGATACAAGAGGGGAGATTGCTAGAACTTGGGTGGAGAAAACTCAGAGTCTGACCGACATGGCTTAGAACTCATTATCTAGCCTTTTCTGTGATAGTGAAGGCAGCAAAGCAATGATTTTTTTTCCCATCAGCATTGCATCTTCACATTCTGGCCCAGCTGAGCTTTTCTAAGTGTCCGTAGCCTTTTACATCTTGGACCAGCAGGAGAGATTATAGAACCCTTGGTAGCTTGCTGTGACAAGTTTGCACAACTCTTCGAAAATCAAGTTACTTAGGTTTGTCATGAGTTGGACTGGACAGTTAATGTTGCTCCATTAATAGAGACATCCAGAACACTGTTGGGTCCAGTTTTGTTGGATGAGTTCCAGTTATTGAGGCCTGAGGATGTGGATAAGTTTCGACTTACTACCTTTATACTTGACCCTTGCCCATCATGGCTAATCAGGAGACTAAGGAAGAGATTCACACCTGGGTCAAGGAAGCTGTTAATGCCTTTTTGAGAGAGGGAGTGGTACCAGCATCTTTGAAGGAGACTGTGATTAAGCCCCTCCTATAAAGGCCATACTTGAACCCAGTGGATATGAATAATTATAGACTTGTTATGAATATGTTTGAGCAGTTGGTAACTGGGCAGCTCCAAGCTCCTTTGGCTGAAATGGACTATCTATATCCATTTCATTCAGGTTTCAGGTCTGATTTTGGAATGGAAACTGCCCTAGTTGCCCTGTGGAATGACTTTTGCCTGGAGACTGACCAGGAGAGTGTGGCTGTATTTATCCTCCTGGACCTCTCAGTGGCTTTTGACATCATTGACTATGATGTTCTGGATAGGCTGCCCAGATTGGGAGTTGGAAGTTCTGCTTTACAGTGGTTCCCCTCCTACCTGGCTGACCAATTTCAGAAGGTGGTACTGGCTGATTATTGCTCTGTGCCACGACAATTATGCCACGTAGTACCACAGGGTTCTATTCCCCCCCCCATGCTTTTTAACATGAAACTGCTGGAAGGAGTTATCCTGAGTTGTCATCAATATGCAACTGACACTTGGTTCTATCTCTCTTTTTCTTCAAATTCAGGTGTGGCCGTGGCCATTTTAAGTGCCTGAACCTGGTAATAGACTGGATGAGGTCCAGTAAGCTGAGAATCAGTCCAGACCAGATGGAGGTGCTGTTGGTGGGTGGATTGTCCATTTGGGAAATTTTCAGTCTGTCCTGGATGGGACTGCACTTCCCCTTAAGGACAAGGTTTGTAGTTTGGGGGTACTCTTAGACCCAGAATTGTTACTAGAGTCAAAAGGTTGACTCAGTGGCACAGAGAATCTTTATCAGCTTATGGTGATTTACCAACTACATCCCTATTTGGACAGACAGAGCCTGGCCGCAGTTATCCATGCTCTGGTAATGTTGTGTCTGGACTGTTACAATGCACTCTATGTGGAGATGCCTTTGAAAACAGTCCAGGAACTCCATTTGGTCCAGAACAGGGCAGTACAGCTATTTATGAGAACTCTCCAATGGAATCCTCTCATCACACCAGTCTTCTTTCAGTTGCCCTGACTGCCAGTTGAAATCTGGGCTCAATTCAAAGTGTTTGTTCTAACGCTTAAATTCCTACATGGCTTGGGGCCATGTTATCTAAAGATGTGCCTTGTCCCATATTTTCCTACAAGACCATGAATTTCATCTGCTGAGGTCTTTCTCAGCGAACCCCCCTCCCAAAGAAGGGATTGGCAACCAGAAGAAGGACTTTTTCAGTAGTGGCACCCCAACTCTGGAATATGCTCCCCAAAGAGGCATGCTTGGTGCCATCCTTGCCATCTTTTTAGTGCCAGGTGAAAACTTTTTTATTTCCCAGTGATTTTAATCATTAAGTCTTGTGTTACTTTTGAATATCATTTTATTACTTCTTGTTGTGCCAGAGGGTTAAATTATTATAGCTGCTGCAGTTGTTGTCCTGTGGTTGTTGCTCTGTTTTATTGTTTTATTATTTGTTTAATATGAGTATTTTATGAACTGCGTATATGACTTTAAATTTGTAAACCTCCCTGAGTCCCTGTGTGATATGGGGCAGTATAGAAATAATAAACAGATGGCTTTTGGGGTTCCTTGAATGTTATGATTCTTTTCATTCTGAGTTTTCAGTTGGTGGTGGTGATGATGACGATGACTTACAAACCACTTGCCATATGTGAAAAGATGCATACAGAAGCGTACAGTATAAGATTAAAATGTCAGACATTATTACCAGTTAAAACTTTTGAAAGTCAGAACAAACTGGCTAGTAAGATGAGTCAGGAAATGCTTGGTTGAAGACATAAGTTTAACAGGTCTCTAAAGTACCCTACAGTTAGTAGTTCCTGAATACCAGAGAGCAGAGCATTTCACAAAATGTGTGTCACTATGGCTTATTTCTGGGTTGCTACCAGATGGCAGATTGCAAGTTAAAGTGCAACCAGTGTGGCCTCTCTTGCCAATCTTAGCAGTTCCGTGGGTCTTTACGTGGGAAGGTTACCTGGTTATAATGCAATATATGAGATTTTTATATGATGTTTGGGTGGCGTAATAAATAAAGGATTGAATTGAATGAAATTATTGGGGTGGGTGTAAAAGTAAAATGCCAAAGTACATGGAACAGATGTGCTAGCCAGCTCCTCAAAGTTGATGAAGAAATCATTTGTTGCCCTCCCTGCCAAGTAGCGTTCTATCCATGTTCAACAGTTTTGACAGTGATCCATTTGCACTTTAATTCTCATGTGCCCTGCCACTTTAAGTCCCATAGGTACAAATGGGGCTTCCTAGTGAGCGAAGCACTTAGGAGTGATAGTGCCATTGGCCCATTTCATTTCACTGTTAGCCCTGTCACCTGTAAACTCTACCTGATGCTGATTCTGTAGTCTCTGGGGACAGATCATCTCAATGCTGCAAGTGGGGTGGGTTTTCTGTCCAGTTTTTACCAGTTATTGTTATTTCCGTTTACATCACAGTACAAACAACAACTGGACAAAACCTGTAATTATATATTGGGTCAATGATGTTTTGAGACAGCCCTATGGTTGACTTGGTGGTCATGAATTCCTGAGCCAGTGCTGACACAGCAGCCCAAGAAAAACCCCAAGATCAGTTGTCCTTGTTTATCTACTGCCATACCTAACACCATCACCAGCAGCTTAGAAATGGAGGCTGTTAGACTGTGTACTGAGCAGTACACAAGCAACATTCTTATTCTGTATCTCTGGCCCAGCCTTAGATGCAGGCCTTCAAATCCTGCACTGGAGCAAAAAGACTTTCTGTTGAATGCAGTGGGATCTTTCTGCACTACAACCACTCCCACTTATATTTCTTGTTTATGTTGTTGTTAGTTGCAAAGTCGTATCCGACCCATCTCGACCCCATGGACAACATTCCTCCAGGCCTTGCTGTCCTCCACCATCCCCAGGAGTCCTCTTAAGCTCACACCAACTGCTTCAGTGACTCCATCTAGCCACCTCAGCCTCTGCCGTCTCCTTCTTCTTTTGCCATCTATTGTTCCCAGCATTAGGCTCTTCCCCAGGGAGTCCTTCCTTCTCATTAGGTGGCCAAAGTATTTGAGTTTCATCTTCAGTATCTGGCCTTCTAAAGAGCAGTCAGGGTCGATCTCCTCTAGGACTGACTGGTTTGATCACCTTGCAGTCCAAGGGACTCGCAGGAGTCTCCGCCAGCACCACAATTCAAAGGCCTCAATCCTTCGGCGCTCAGCCTTCCTTATGGTCCAGCTTTCACAGCCACATACATACATACATTTATTTATTTATAACATTTCTATACCGCCCGCATTGCAACAAAGCCTTGGGGTGGCTCACATAACAAACAAAATCATATAAAAATTTATACACTAAAAATATTAAAACCCGGTGCATCTCAGCTTAATTTTTTTTAAAATCCTCCATAATAAATTAACACTTAAAATAAGTTTTAAATAAAAAGGTCTTAGACTGGCGCCGACAAACAAATAACGATGGTGCCAGGCGGACCTCTCTGGGGAGCGCATTGCAGCTGGGAAAACCATAGCCTTGACTATATGCACTTTTGTTGGCAGGGTGATGTCTCTGCTTTTTAGTATGCTGTCTAGATTTGCCATAGCTTTCCTCCCCAGAAGCAAGCGTCTTTTAAATTCTTGGCTGCAGTCCCCATCTGCGGTGATCTTGGAGCCCAGGAAAATAAAATCTGTCACTACCTCCATTTCTTCCCCATCTATTTCCCTGGAAGTGAGAGGACCGGATTCCATGATCTTAGTTTTCTTGTTTATACTGGTGTGGAACTAGGTACCCAGGTAAGCTTGCACAATCCCCCTGCTAAGGTATTTGTAATGTATGCCACCATATGGTCAAGGGAATAATTTTCAACCGGTTTCTGGTCAGTCCAGCCTCCCTTATCATACTTTGCCCTGTTAAGCGCAGTTGGGATCTTGATGTTCTATTCCCTCCTCCCCCGGTTTATTACTATCCAGCCATATAACAAAAATACCAACAAGTAGGAAGTTTTACCTGTGTTACAAAGCACGACAACCCCAGACTCTTGTTCTGTAATTCTTTCCCTCTTGTAGCAAGAGAGTAAGAGAACAGGCACTAAAACGCAACAGAACAAATTGCATGCAACACAGTTGCACACTATTTTCAGTATTGCCAGCTTTGAGTCTCTTTCCTCCCTGTTATCACAGTAACTTAATAATCTGACTTTCTTCCTCTTGCAAGGAACCCACAGTGGCTTACAGCAGCCTCATGATGTATGTTAGACTGAAAGTGTGTGCTTAGTCCAATGTAATCCAGTGAATTTCATGACTGAATGGGGGCTAGTAGATCTGAGAACCACTCCAGTGCTCTAACTGCTATACCACACTGGCTTTTATGTGTGGAATGAACAGTATCATAGATGCATAGTAACTCAGGTTTTTGTGTTGGCAATTCCTTCTGTCACCCAGCCCATTCATTGACACACATGTTCTTTCCCCTTCCCTCTCTTCTTTCAAATGATACACAAATTACTTCATCCATTCACATACCCTTCTGTTTCCCACTTCCCCTGCTTAGTCCGGTTAACTTATGTTACGCTCATGTTGTCTCCTTCCTCTGGGTCACATAATACGAACAGACCTCCTCCAGCGTCCCACTATTGTTTGTCTGTTTGTTTTATAAACTCTGTTTGCAGGCCAGCATGTGCTCTCTGGGTGGTGCACAATTCCACTATAAAACTAACAATAAAATCAACTCCATAAAGTAATACAATACAGACATCTCCATAGATTTAACTAAAGATTATACAGGTATAGTAGCAATTATAGTATATAATTAAAATTTGTAAGAATATATATAAATCAGTATTAAAATATCTGAAAAATAGAACTGTCTTTGCCCGGTGCCAAAATGCTAGTAATGAAGGTACCAGGTGAACTTATTTAGGGAGCCCATTCCAAAGATGGGGTACAATCACTGCAAAAGCCGTCCTGTTTGCCATCCCCTTCACCTCTTTGAGAGATGGTTCTTTAAGAAGGGCCTCTAACCCAGATCTTACCAGAGAAGAAGGTACATGTAAGAATAGATGGTCCTTCAGGTATGCTGGTTCCAAGCTGTTTAGGGCTTTATATGCCGATACAAACATTTTAAATTGGGCCCAGACTTCAACTGGTAGCCAAAGCAAATGGAATAATACCTGCATAATAGAGACATGCAGATTAGCTTTTGTCTGTAGCCACACATCCCTATTTTGAAACAATTGATGTTTGTGGTTTGTCTTCAGATGCAGCCCCACATGGAGTGTATTACATAGTAAAATTGGGATGTTACCAGAGCATGGGTAACTGGCCAGCTTCCATCTGTCCAGGTATGGCTGTAGTGGGTATATCAACCACAGCTGAAGGAAGGCACTCCTGGCCACTGTGTCTGCCTGAGACTCAAGTGAAAGTGGTTGGTTCAGAACTACTAGTGTGAATGCCATGCAGTATTCCTCTTTTAAACACGTGGTTTTTCAGTGTTCATGGTTTTTAAATGCTTCTTCATGGTTCCTGTGCAGCACACACATGGTGGTCCTGTGTCTGTGCAGTGCCATTCAAAAATGCCAATCTTTTGGCAGTCTGGTATGCATTCTTCTGAATGTTGCTCATGGCTTCTGTTTGAGGGATATAATAGAATAGCAGAGTTAAAGAGAATTTGGTGATGTCTCCCAAATTGTATGGTGATTGAGCAATTTGGCCATATTTTTTTCTTTTTTTAATTTCTCTTTTGTAGGTTTTTTTTTTAAATCTTACCATGTTTTGCTTTTTTATTTTCTCAGTGTTCTCCTGGCATTCCCAAACCTATTTGATTCATTTTCTTGGGATGGGCCCTCTCTATGTTTTCTTTGTCCGGGATAGGGGCATCTAGTTAATGCGTGCCAACACTACCAGAATTTTACATCACAGATTAAACAAAGCTAATGCTCCTGCTTAAGAGCCTTACTCTGGGAATAGGTTCTTCCAACCAAGAAGTCTGGAGCTTAAAACAGTCTGTTTAGCCCACTGCATCCAGGCTCTGTTCTCACCTGGAAGCTGTAATTGCCTCCCTCAGTTTGAGAAAGGTTTTATCAACTTTGGGGCCTTTGATGTACTTAGGTCTGTCTGTTCTCATGAATGATACTGACTGCCTCATTTTGATCCCATTAGTTCTAACTGTGTCTGGCACAACTCTGTCATTGCTACTCCTTTATACGATGTGCCAGAGGGTCTCTCAGGTTGTTTTTAACACCAGGGAAATCTTTTGTCCTGAGTTGGATTAAGAAGCCTAAGACCAAGCACTTTCCTTGCAGAGAGCAGAAAAAAAGGGGGGAGGGGACAGACTATCACCCATCAGCCAAGTTACTATCAATGCCAATCCAGTTGCCTTTGGTACTGTAGCAACACTTGCACCTGAATACAGGGTACCCAGACTTTCCCAACACCTTCTGAAATATTGAACCACCTAGCACGTTTTAACTTCCTCTACTGAAGATGATGCAGGACTCTTTAACTTTGTTTTCACCGAAGTGTACATGCTTTTAAACACTTTCCTGGCCTAGAGTTGTGTTTTTCTGCAATTTCAACCACATGGTCTGGACCAAATTGATGTAGATGTCTTTTGAGTGAAGATACTTATTTGCTTTATTTCAATTCTTCCAAAATACTTGGCTGGCATTTGGTCAATTAATTGCACCAGATTGTAGAGCAAATAACATGTAAGTAGGAGATGAACAGAAAGGGTATCTCTTTGAGAAAAAATCAAGTAAATGATGTTGCTGCTTTACCATATCTAATTGCTCACTCTTTTACCAGGAGAGTCATCTGTTTCTAGACTTTGTCTACCAACAAGCAGGAATTTTTATTTTTAAAACTCCTGAACTGTTGGAATATTTAATCAAACACTGCATAACAGCAAAGAAGGTGAGCCAGTGGCTACAGGGCTCACTCCAATGGAACTGAAACTAGAGTTCTCACCATTAGTAACTACAAAGGTTTAAACCTTAAATCCTACTTTACTCACATTTTATGTTATTCAGTAGAACTTATTTTTTTAGTTCATATGGACAAAACAATATTTTTCATTCTGTGCTTGAGTGTACATGTGTAAAAACAGCATAGCTGTTAACTGAAGCTGACTTTGAAATTGGATGCACTAGGAAACTTTGACTACTAAACGGCTTCAGTAAATTAAGCTGAAACATAACAGTTAAGGTGGTGAGTGTGTAGAACACAGATTCAAAGCATATGAGCTGTCATGTGCTTATCACATCATTGGTTCATCTAGCCTTATATTGTCTGTTCTGTGTGTATTCTGCTCACTGCTACCCAAACTTCTTTAATTGGAGATGCTAGGGATTAAATCTGAAACCTCTTGGTTGCAAAATATATCCCTTGCGTCTGAGCCATTGCTGAAAACCAATAGATTAAGGAAAAATCATCACTTGAACATAGGAACCTACCTTATAATGAATCAGACTACTGACTCATTTACTTTTGTCTGGTAGCTTTCTGAGGTCTTAGACTTAATTAGTACTGCTACCTTACATCCCATGTACTAGGTCATAGAGAGAGCTTTCAGGCATCTTTGTGGAAATGAGGTTAGTCTCTTTGGATTATTGAAAATATTTTATCAGACGTGCATAAAAAGATGATCTTAAGATAGCGGTTTAAGTGCCTCAAGAATAGTAGTCCCATATGAACTTGCCTCCAGTCTTGTATATGCAATGTGGATCTCATGAATATGATACAGGCTAACAATCTCTTATGCTGCAGGTTAATTATAGGAAATGCTGATTTGTAAGCTGGAGGGTAGAACTCCCATCTTTGTGGCTTATCTGGGAGGGCTTCCAACAGGCCAACCTCTAGACTAGTACTAGATGGAGGATCTACTTTATCATGCCTTTCCAGGTGTGAGCTGGGAGAACAGGTAGCTGGGATGGAGAAGTTGTTAAGTTTCAAAAGTTAGAGGGACTGTTAAGCTGGCAGCATTGTTTCTTACTGCTTTTTTGCCATGTTTGTTGGCTTTCTTGTGCATTTCCTTAGCATTAGCATTTCACTCGCTCAATCCCCTCATACCCTTTTGTTTCTTCTTCCTGTTTTTGCTCTCTCTTCTACATCCCTGGCCCATTTCTCATGTATGTATCCCATTTTTCCTTCCCTTTTTCCTTTTCCATTGTTCACTTTTGTACCAGATGTTTAGACCTTTCTGCAGTTATTCTTTAAATGAAAGAGCTACCATTCAGTTGTCTGCTCTATGGGAAACAGCAAAGTAATTGCTAAATTCAGTGAATTTAACAAAATTTCAAGTGTTACTGTATTCAAAATTGATTTAATGATTAAGAGCCAATTAGCATTAACTTGAAAATTGAACCTTTCAGGGAACATTTAGTGGCCATGTATTCTTATTGTAAACCCTGAAGTTTTTTAACATTAACACATACAGGTACGTGATGATTTTTCTCATTTGGGCTATTTTTTTCAGCCTGTTCTGACTGCTCAAGAGAGGCAGCTTTGTATTTTTAGTATCACTTTATCCTTGAGTAAAATAGGTCTTGCTTCTAAGCATTCCCCACTAGCTGTTGGTAATTTATTATTTATTTCATTTTTATACCACCCGATAGCCTCCTTTTACAGTGTTCCTCCCAAAATACCATACACAGTCCTTTTTGATGGCAGACCATGTTTCATTCTGATTCACTACTGCAGGCATTAATGGTACTTCCTACCAGAAGTCATAAGATACAGGAACTGTAGCAGAAGAGGAACTTAACAGGAATAGAAAGGCTCTGGAAGCTGATTGTCTTCAGCAGCTGCAAAGTGGTATGTTCTGGTTGTTTATGTATCTGAGTCCTATTAACATGCAAGATATAGAGATTAGTAGTCTAGGATGATAGATAATCATATTCAATCTAAAGAATAGGATTATTGAGAAAATTTATTGTTTCTATGTTTCCTAAAAGTATTTTACCTAATGTATTTTGAGCATAGTAAAATGGACTTCCACTTGATGTAATTCAGTATGGATCAGGCTGCTTTTCATGTGTAAGAGTTGCCAGAAATGCAATGTTGATGATTTGAGGAGAGAGAATTAAAAATACGTTTCTTTCCAGTGTTCCTGTTAATTTGCATGTACAGTCTTATGAAGTTGCTTAATCCAGATAAGATGGAAGTGTTACTGGTGGGTAGGCTGAGTGTTCAGGTATGTGATAGTTGTCTTGAATGGGGTTGCACTCCCCCAAGGGATGGGGTATGCAGCCTGGGAGTACTCCTTGACCTGGAGCTATCCCTGGAATTCCAGGTGGTGTCTGTGGCAAGGAGTGCTTTTCTCCAGCTGAGGCTGATCCATCAGCTGCACCCTTACCTGGATAGACAAGACCTAGCAACAGTAACCTATGCACTGATAATCTTCCATTTGGACTATTGTAACATGCTTTACATGGGGCTGCCCTTGAAAACAGGCTGGATGCTGCAGTTGGTTCAGTATAGGAACTGCCTGAGTACTGACTGGAACCAGTAGAAAGGAACGTATTATACCAGTCTTATACCAGTTACACTAGCTACCAGTAGAAGTTCAGGCCTGATTTAAGGTGCTAACGATAACATATAGTCCTGCAATGTTTAGGCTATCTGAAGGGGCATCTCCTTCTGGATGAGTCTCTCTAGACAAGGTCACTACAAAAGTCCTTCTCTGACAGCCCTCCTTGAAAAAGGTAGTGGGGGCTGTCATGAGGAAAAGAGCTTTTTCTGCTATAGCACCCCAATTATGGAACTTGCTCCCCAGAGAGGTTTGCCTGGCACTGACCCTTAATTTTTTCTGGTGGCACTGCAACACCTTTTTAGTTATCCCATTTTTAATTGCTAAGTAATATATTTTAATCATTATATTTTCATATCAAGTACCGGCACTTTGGGTTTTTAGTTGTTACCACAACTTAACCTTTCTGTAGACTGTCTTGAGATTTTTTGGGAAAAAAAAGAAAGGTATAGAAAAAATTAAAATAAAATACTAATCAAACATGGGTATATATCTCAGCTTTTTCATTCCATGTAAATAGTTGTGTCCTTTTAAACCTTACAAACTGCCTTTTAAAAAAATTCTGGACTTTCAGGTTATCTGACTAAAGTCAGTTGTGCAAAGACAGGTCCTATCTGCATGTAAAGACAACCCACTGGGTTGAAAACTCAATTGTTTATGAGCAGGGGTATTGCCTTCAGCAGCTTGCCTGTCTCTTTCCACTTTTAACCCAGAATTAATGTTTAGCTGTTTTGCATGTTGTGAAGTTGTAAATTGTGCATAGGAACTAAACTGTCCAGTAGATAGTCCAACAACAAGCCAGTGTTTGACCTTTGCAGGTCATCCTCCACAACCTGTGAAGGAGTACAGTGTGGGTTGTGGGGTAAATGCAGAAAACACACCCACTGTCCTCACTTGTATGCAGCCTATTTGTTTTTAAATAAATGGTTTGCCATTACATATAACCCAAGTCAGATTAGATGGGATTGTTGTTCCATCCTTATGCAACAGAGGGCCAAACAAGACAGAGAAGTGAATTAAGATTAAAAAACAATATTATCAAGGTGGATAAAAATAGTTACTGAAAAGAACTCTGAAAATTTAGACAGAATTTTTTTTCATCTAGTAGTTCTCACGTTTTACTTTGGCTCACTAATCATGGATATTTAGTTTTGTTTGGTAATTGGTTTTTTGTGAGGTCAGTGTTGTTTCAAGGCAATGACCAGATTCAGACAACACACTGCGGAGTTATTTAATCCATAGCAAGTCACTTGAAAGTTGTTGTTGTTTCATGCAGACCTGGAAAGGGTTGTGCAACTGATAAACAACTGTTGCATAAACCTAAAGGAGATAATATGTTATGGAAGGGTTGTTTAATTGTCATTCTGCTTCTTGGGGTTGAAGGCTTCCTCTAACATTCTGTACCATAACTTAGACATAAATAGTTCTATAGGCTTGACCTTCTAGAACATGGGTCCTCAAACTACGGCCCGGGTGCTGGGTCCAGCCCGCCATGCCCATTTATCCGGCCCACCTCAGAGGTTTTCCACGCGCCTCACACCCACACGACATGTACATGCCCGCCGCTGCCCACCTTGCCCCCCACACAGGGAGGCAGTGGCTTGCTCACACGGAGATCTTTTTGGGCTCCTTCGGAGAAAACAATCTCCAAGCGAGCAAGCCGCTGCATCGCGCACCTGCCGCTTCATAGTGGTACGTGCCTGCCCCTGCCTTGCCTCACCTGCCCACGCGCACCTGCCCACCCCTCCCCCCACCTCAATGCCTGCATGTCCTGCCAGCACCACCTTTCCGGCCCTCGTCCAAGCACTGGTACCTTTCAACTGGCCCCCTGGTGAAAATGTTTGAGGACCCCAGTTCTAGAACATTGTTACAAAGTGGGGCTGCCTTTGAAAATAGTCCTGACACTTCAACTGATTCAAAAAAGAACAGCAAGATTGTTAATGGGGATTGGCTTATAAGAACATAATATGGCAGCCCTCTTCCAGCAAGGCCAGATCTGATTCAAAGTGTTAGCATTAACATTCAAAGCACAAATGGCTTAAGGCCAGGTTATCTGATACCTCATCTGATATCAGATATCATCTGTTATCTGATACCAGGTTACCTCATTCCATATGTACCTAACCAGATCCTGAAGGCATCTTCAGGGGTCCTTCTCCAGCACCTGCCTCCAAAGGATGTGAGGTGGAGCGCCTTTTCTGTTGTGACACTCCAGCTGGGGAATGACCTCCCAAAAGAGGTGTGGTTGGCTCCTTCTTTGAATTTTATGCATCAGATGAAAACCTTTTTATTTCCTCAGCATTTTAACTGTTTAACTTTATAACTTTAGTTTCAGTATTGCATTTTATCCTGTACCATTATTATGCTTCCATGCTGATTCAGTTCCAATTGCTGTGATTTTGTTGTTTTATGTTAATTTAAGTTTTGTCAATAGTCCAGAAAGCCCAGGCTATTGGGCAGTATAAAAATGAAATAAATATTCTACTCTACAAAAGTCCCAAATTTCAACCTCCTAACATTTACTTTTTTCTATATGCCTGAGGCTCAAAAGTATCCTAGAATCTCCATAGAAATAGTTCTGTGGGGTAATTTTATACCCCCACACGATAGGTCCCAAACAAAGGAGCAAAAAAAAAATTCAGTACTGGTTATCTTGGTCTCTTTTTAAAGCTAAGATCTTTACCTAAAACATTCAATAAACAAAATTTAAATCTACTGAGGAAAAGTTTTGCTATGATTTTTTTAAAACTTGGTAAGCAAAACTATTGTTACGCAGAGAAAAGCTCAGTAGGCCTAGCATCTTCATGCAGATTTTATTGTTTTATATGACCTCAGGAAGAATTCAAGTTTGCATTACATGTACTTGCTGAGGACTAAATGCCATTGTTAGGTTAATTGAAACCTGGGGGGGGGGCGGTTGTATGGAGTTAAAGGTGTTTTCATATGTTTTTTCTTGTCTGCAGTGCTTTCATCTGGGATCAAAAATACTATACTAATACTATACTATACCCCAAATACTACTGGGGATATGGTGGTGGGTGGTGGGTGTATTATTGGCATAGGATCTTCCAGTAACAACTTTGTGTGGTATCTCCCAAACAGGGATTGCCTATTCAGAATGGTGGCCACAGGTGCCCCTTACAAGGGACACCTTTACTGTGGGTTAATCTACGGTGTGCTGGCCTATCATGAGAAAAGCCCCCAAAGTAGAAGGCTGAAAAGGACAGCAGGAGACCCCCCCCCCAAAAAAAAATCCTTCTGTATTAAGTATTCTGTATTAAGAATGCAAGCCTAAACCTGTTTACTTGAAAGTAAGTCAGCTGAACTCCGTGGGATTTTTTTCTGAGGACATGTATAGGATTGTACGCTTAACTTGAACTCATGTTCATAAGGAAGACCTTATATAGGAACATTTTAAAGACAATCTACAAAAAAAGGGAACCATGTAATATATGCCATGAGACAAAGAAATAGAAAGCTTGCTTGTAAGAATGAAACAGTGTAAGTAATACTGTATTTAGTTGTGAACAAACATGGCTTTGTGGTCATATATGTACCGTTGTTCAAGAAACATATGAAATAGTTTTTATGGGTTGAGTGAAATCAGTTACTTAAATCAATCTTATTCTTGATGATGTAATTCATAATTTAAAGCCTTCAGTCTGCTTACTCCAGTTGTACTTAGCCTAACTTCTTTTTCTCATAATTTTATATATATGAATTCTGGTATTTGAAATGCTGAGAGTTACTTCTGAATTCCATATTGAGTAGAAATTACTCTGTCTCAGAAAGGTAGCATTAGGTATACAATGCTATGGCCTTCCAACATTTCATGGGTTTGTAATGGGAAAGGTTGAAGTTCCAGCTCTGATGCTGGAAAAACACTGTGAGGTTGGAATAGTAACTCTGACTTTTGAGGGCCCTTCCTTGAGTGGGAGACTGTCTTTGGAGTCAACTGGGGGGGGGGAGGGGATATTTGAGTGGGTGGGGAAGGGAGGAGCAAGGTACCAGTATCCTCATAAGAATCGCAGTGGCACTAAAGCTTCTCTTTCTCCTGAAAAAGGGGAAAACAGATGTTAGAAGTTGACCATCTTAGCATTTTGAGATCCAACGGGAGTGTGGAGACAGCCATGTCTGCTGTGCTGCTGCTTTCTTCCTTTCGATGCCTGTTTAGGCCACATGGAATGATGCTTGTAATCATTTTTCTCTCACATCCCTGGCATCATACCCCTGGCACAGCATTTAAATAGTGTTGCATCCTGCTTCCAGAAATGGGGTTGTCTTACTGTAGTGAATACATCCCATGTCATTTGGTCTTCCCCCAGTTGTTTTTTAAAAAGGGAAAAATATTTCACAGTAGAAGGTGCAAGTTCATGAGTATCTGAGATTGTTCCCAGAACTACTTCCTCTTAGGCTTTTTATCCATAAGAGAAGGTGTTTCTTTGGGATCACTTGAGTTATGCTTATTTTGTGTCTTTTTCCCTTTGCTGTTCTTCAGACAGAGCAACATATTACAAATGGACATGCTTCAGGCGTATACTGTAATTATGTTGATTCTTTTATTCAGAAAATTGTAGACAATTAGGGCTATTGTTTTATTTTAAATGATGTTGCTACCAAAGCACATTCAGATATTTGTAGCAAGCTTTGTATTAATTTTTTTCCCCCATGAGCTTATTTTTTCAAGAGGCTATAGCCACTTCCTAGAATATTTGGGACTCCATTCTCAGGCTGCATTTGTAACCCAGTATTAGGGGGGAGATGGGTAGATCATCATCATACCACAAAATAGCTGGAGTGAGCAGGATATGCTATAACTAGTACATGGAGAATGGCTCAATAGATACACATGTAACTGTAGTTCCAATACATGTGGAACTGTAGAAGAGGTTTGAGGATGTTTTATGCCGGTTTTGAGGTAGAAACAGTAAGAAAATTCTTAGTTGCAGCTTTACACTTTGATGAATGACTTCCAGCAGATGGACAGGTATAGCCAGTTATCTTGCCATAGACTTCTCTGGATTTAGACTTTTGTCAGCTGAGTTCTTCGTTTGTACTGTGTCTTTTGGAAAATGGTTAGGTTAAGGCAGCGGTCTCAAACTCAGCTTACCTGGGGGCCACTAGAAGTAGAGTCTGGGTGAGGCTGGGCCATATCAAGTATTCCACCACCACGGTGGTGGTGGGCCGCTCATCCTGCGTCGCTCCCGGAGGCCAGCCCAGGCGCCGCCAGCGCTTTGAAGCCCTGGCCGTCCCGGCGTGCAGCTTAGAGGGAACATTGCGCCCAGTGTAACGACTCACACAGGTGCATGTGAGAAAAACGTGCGGGCTGCACTATCACTAAACTTTGATATCAAGTGGGGGCCACAAAATATCGTCTCACGGGCCACAATTCGCCCGTGGGCCGCGAGTTTGAGACCCCTGGGTTAAGGAGAATGTTTACTGTGTGTTATGCTTTGGTAATACAATAAGTTACTTCTATTTTTTCTATTAAAAAAAAAGTAATCTCCCCCTCCCCCCCACACACACACTTTATCCTGCAATATGTCTGACTGTCAGGCATGCCCAGAACAAACCTGTGTTGCTGGCCTGAGCATGCCCAGAACAAACTAGTGTTGCCTAGGAACATGTCACAAGTTGCTAGGAAACGGGAAAGGGTAATGCATAGGGCTTATACTGATAATTTAGCCTCAGAAACAGCTACTGCTGTTGAGGCCTGTGGAGGAAGTAGTCTTAGTCTATCTAATAGACATGAATTGAAGTTATTGACATGAATTATTTGGCTTTAATGTTTGAGACTTTTGATCCCCTTTTTGAGGGTCATCATCAACACTGCAAGAATTTTTTAAAAGTTGTCTTGCTTTGTGTGTGTGCATGTGCATGGAATAAAAACACAGATGTCAAGATAGTAGAATCTCCATGCTCAGGTGCAGTCTACTTCTGGTTTAGGTTGCCTGGTAGATTTTTGAATATAGAAGTTCTTCTGTCTACCTGTTGCAACCCCTCTTTGTTTGCTGAACCCACCACCCAGAAGATAATAAATACACCATTAATGTTGTTTTAAAGGTTGAGTATACAGAAGCAGTTGTGTGTATTTGTCCATTCATCTCAGTGGATTAAAGAAAATATTTGAATAAGCATGCTGAAGTAATGGGATATACTTGCCTAGCCAGTCATCTAATCACTACATATATTTCTCTCAGAAAGACACCCACACAGAGACATATATACATAGCGTGATTGTATGTATATCCTTCAGGAGAAAATACATATATAATTATCTCAGAAATATATATTTTATGTATACACATACAGTTCAAGTTGGTGGGCGGATGTGCTACAGAAGAGAAGCCATGGCAAGTAGATAGTAGATCTGCCACATTGAGATGCACTCTGCCACTGGAAACATGTTTGCATGGTAGAATGTAACTGAATATGGAGGTTCTTTAATATTCCTCTAATGGCTTCTCTCTTGTGGAGACCATTGCCCATGAGCGCTAACAAAAGCAACCATTTTTAATGCTGAAATGAGTGGATGCACAGTTCTTCAGTCAGCTGTGAAAAACTAATGGTAATTCAAAAAATATATTTTGAGCTAAATCTTTTTAGTGTTCACGCTCATCAGTAGCTATGACGGTGAGTGGATGCCAGAACTGGCAGTTTGGAATGCTGGAAAATGAAAATTCCTAAGAAGAAAATGGGCATGGAGTGTGTATGTGTGTTTGTTTAAGCTGTCAGGACAGGATTGGTGTGGAGAAGCCCTATAAGAGAGAACCATGATGGCTAGGTAATACAGCTTCCATCTTCAGATGTAAGTCTTTCTTCAAATACAAGCTTGTAAGGCATATTGCATCTAAAAATGGAGGCTTTTTCTATTGTTTAACTGTCTTGGCTTCTCTCTGTAGGCAGCCTCTTAAAAAAAACACCTAGGGTAAGTCAATGACCTGGTTCACATGTAAGGGACAACCAATGGTTTAAACAACCTGCATTTTTTGTGTACAAATAAGAGCCCTGACTGTGTGCCCAGCAGTTGCACTTTTAATGAACAGTTTACGAGTGGCTGGGCCATAGGTTGTTGAGGGTTATGTGTGAACCCAGAGTGCTGGGTTGCTTAGCCCTTAAACAATGCAGTACTTTGGATTCACAACCAATGATCTGGCCAGTTGGAAGCTGTTGGATAAAAGTGGAAGAGATTGGTGCACCTTACTGTGTTGTATTACTTGTGGGGGTAGATGGGAACATGGAGGTGCTGCCATGGCTAATAGCTGCTGATCAGTCTTGCCCATATGAATTTGCTTAGTAAAACAGTCAACTAAGCCTAGTGACCATTGCCATCATTTCTTCTCTTGTGTGAGTATATTACAGGCTATTAAAAATGTATTAAACATTTCAATATGGAAGTAAAAAATATACATGCCTAATTACTGTTTGGTAGAGGCAATTCAGACCTGATTAAGATAGTTTCTTGAATTTTGATTGTGTCCACCTTTATTATGAGGGGTTGTACGTGTTCTGGAGAATAATTTCTTCGGCAGTGAGAGAATTTCTAGGATCCAATAAGTAAACTGAGAAATGTGTGGTCAATTTCTTTTTTGTAAAAATTGATGAGCCAAATGTTATGAACATCTCCACCAAAATTGTAGTTTGTATCTGTGTTATTCAGATTCATTTCTGAAATCTTTTAGAAGTAGTTTTCTTCTGCTTTGTGAGGTTGTATGGGACAATAAGGCATGTTTCTTAAAGAAGACGATTGACATTCCTTGCATTTTTCACCTGCCAATGGCTAATATAAAGACAATATGTAATGCTTCTTCCAGTGCTAAAAACCTTTAAGCAACATTTAAATGGTAGTAATAGCAATAACAAATGGTTATTGAATATTTGTTTCCAAAACAATTAAGAAGGTTTTTTTAGGTCTTAAAATTCATCATTGATTTAGGATGATTAATATCTTGGCCTAAAGTTAGTAGTACTGTTGATGCCCTTACCATTACTTGAGAAACATTTAGCCTTCAGCAGTCCATAGACTTTTATTTCTGTGGTGCCAGAATTGAACTATTTGATGTAGTTTCTTTTGTTTTTATTTCTGCTTTGTAGGAAGGAAAGAGTGAATGTGTAATTATGCCTACGTGTTTACAGCAGCAGCATAAGGCAAGACGCCTACGATATCAGCAGAAGAAAGGTAAGGCTGTAGAAAACCTAGTACATAGGGCCTCAGTACAAGCTTCTTTACACCAAGCCTGGTTGAGAACTTTCTGTACATTCTTTCTGCAAAACTAAATGATACAGATATAATTTGATAAAAACTACAGAGGATCAGACTTTTGTTTCCAGAAATACCAACACCTAGACTTTCTCCTTTGAACTGCTCTCTTTATTTTTTTAGTTCACCCACTTCTTAGTATTCTTCGTAATCACTATACCTTTCCCTACATGGAGAGCTGTTCAGGAACTGTTTAAACCTAAGGAATGTTGGCAGGAACCTGCCCCCAATTTCCAGAGCACATGCTCCATAGTGAGTCTCCTGTTTCCACTCCGTTCTTCATATTGCTTGCATTGTGAAGGACTTTTTCTTCAGGATTTTTCTGTTAAACATGAAATTCTTACTGTGTTCTTTCCTCTCTCAAGTTGTGTATCTCTCTTTGTAATTTACTATATTTCATGTTAGCATCTTCCTCATTGCCTCTGTTGGCCATTGGCCCCTTTTTGTAAATGCTTACACTGTGGGAGTAAGTTTGCTACCCTCAGGGAGCCACTCCTTCCTTTTGCCTGTTGTGCTTCACTGGGTGCATATGTGAGCCTTGTGTCAGGCTTACCAACCATGCCTGGATGAATCATTTAGCCAGGCCCCAGGTGCAGCAGTTATTTATTTGCTCAGCACTAGGTCTAGGCATGCTACTTTCTTGAGATCTCCCTTTGTCCTTCCATATGTCACTGCCCTCAGACATAGTCCCTTGAGACCTCTAAACCCCTGTCATTCCAGCCAGTTTTGCTTGCTTTGACAGCCTAGGTATTGACAGTGGACCAATTCCCTGTTCTAGGTTGCACTCTCAGTTTTGCTTTGGAAAACGAACAAACAAAAGCATGCAGAATTTAGTATTACAAAGAAGCCGTAGACCCAATCCTTAGCACAAACTATAGCTAAGAAAAAGAATGTTTAAAGCAGACCTCTTATCCACCTGCATTGGACCTGCTCCCTGAACTCCCACATCAGTTCCTGGCCTCAGAAAAGTCTGTCTTTCAGATCCTAACTTGCTACCACCATCAGCAGTATTCCTGCTGGAGCCAAAACTGAGTCAATGTGTGGTGCTGTAGTTTTGAACTCTCCGCTTCTTGCTTTTCAGCTTACAGTGGCTGAAGATTTAAGACCTATCAGTGAAACTTCCTCAAATGCAAAACCCATGTTGAAACAGATGGTTGAAACCCATGTCACCCTTTTGCTATAGTAATTCCCCAGACCACTGTCAACTCACTTTGCTCATGTAGAGGATCTTCAGATTTGGCATACTTAGAATATTTCTGTAATGGTTGCCAGAGGTGGAAATAGGCATGGAGGACACCTTTCAGACAATGATATTTGAATTCTTCCTAGAGCCACTTTTCTCCTTATGTACAGATTGTCACATTTTATCACGCCTTCCATGGCACCACTCGGTGATGTCATGGCAGCTATGCTAATAGGAACTGAAACTGGGAATACTGTTTCTAGTCCTTCCCAAAAGTCCCCATCTGGTACAGTTCTCTACTCTTCCAGTAGCCATTTCTTCAACCATGATCTTCTTAATAGCAGCTGTTTCTAGACAAGTCTCTTGCTGACATGCTTTTATGCTAGCACTTCAGCCCCTCCCCTTGGTACCAATAGCTTCATCCATGCAGCACCTGTAATGACGACCATCTCATATCTACTGCTCCTACTCTGTTTGGTTCTAACACAAATTGATACTGGGTCCTGCTCCCTGTTTAGTTCTGCCTGCCTTCTCCTGCTTGCCTCCACAGGCACTGCTACTGCAGCTCAGCAGGATCCCTTCTAAGAATCACAACTAGAACCTATGGAATTACTCTCTTTGGAAGGCTATTGGTTTTGATCGTATATCTCTGTTAATGGCATCCCTCTTGAGCTCCTTACTAGAATTTGTCATTAGAGACTAGGAGCACTGTTGCCTTTCGAATTGCCTGTATTCCAAGACTATACAGACTGGCCCCAGTGTTCCCTGCCTTCTGAAATATATTAGGGTATACAGACTCTAGGCCTTCTTGATGTCACCTGCATAATGGAGGCTGAAAACACTTCATGCTGAATTTAATAATAATTGAGGTGGTCCAAGGGAAGTTTCAAAAACCGCACTGTTCCTCTGTGAGTAAAAAGATAAAATATGCTGTGGACAGCAGTCTTCTCTTCAACAGTTTAGACAAGCCAATTACCAAGCCTGCTTGTTGAGATACTAACTTTTCCTCTGGGGGAAAAAGACACTTTTTAGAACATCTCCACAAGGGCAAGATGGAATTTACCAGAGTATTCCAAAGGATGCAAAACAGTCAACAAATTGCTACTTTTTTCCATATGGTTGATAGTGATTCAAAAGCCATGATTCAAAAGGTATTGTGCAATAATATAACGCCACGCTTGATTTTATACTGTGGTGCATCACTCAAGCCCAGGTCTACACAGATCTCCCATTTGATGGGGAAGGCCCTTTCCTCTCAGCCAGTGACTCTGTCCTTGACAGGGTGCAAAAACTGAAAACTAATTCCAAGTGACTCGGGTTGGGATCCACGACCAAACTGTAATGCCTTTATCCAATCACCCAATGTGCAACCAAACAGTTAAAGTCCTCAGCAAGACTATTAGAAACCCACTTAGACGTAGAAATACCAATTCTATGAACACCAAAAGAGAGGAGATACCTCCAAGGGGCATCTTTGACTAGATATCTCACACCTCTTATGTCTGACAGCAGCATGATTTCTCTGGAGATAGATTTGACTGGTTTCCATATGATTCCTCACAATTGGCTATGTTGGCTGGGCCTGGTGGGTGTTAAAGATGAAATCATCTGGAGGGCCATAAACTGCTCATCACTAAGCTGCAGAGTAGAATTTTGCACCATTTTACACTCTGGTCAGGTGTAAATACTATTTCCTGCCCTCCTCACACAGGAAGTAATTTCTCTTATAGAAATAGTAGACCTTTTTTAGGGGCACCAGAATTAGTAGCTCTGGGAAGTAACCGTGAAGGCTTCAATTTCCAGTACTTTACAGTTCCCAAATGAGAAGAGTTTATGGCAGAAGGTTCCATTCTTCACTCAATGTGCATGCCCTAGGGTGCGACTCTTGCTCCTGTCAGTGCCTGAAGACTGCCATTACAGCTCTAGTTTGATTGAGTGTAGACCACACCTGTGTGAGAATGACCACTGAAGAGAAACCAACCCAGAATTCTGGTATGCAATATGTCCTCCTTTATCACATATATCTGGGTGAGTTGTCAGGTAACTTATTGGTGGAGGAGAACATGTGCTATCCAAGCACAGTGAAAAGGAATGCCTGTCTAAAAGAAGCATTTTGCTGTGTGCAAGTATCATCTGATATTGTTACAAAAGTGGAAGACTGAGGCAATGTGGAAGCAGGGCACAGCTCTGGCAAAGACACCCCATAAAGGAAAAAAGCTGAAGAGGCAGAGGCCCTTGTGAAGTACTCTTGGAGGGCTATGGTGTCGGCCTGCCAAGCTGTAGCTGCACAGAACAGCTTTCATTGCCCATTTGGCAAAATGTTACGAAGACATGAGGAGGCCTTTACTTCATCTCTGATAACAGACAATTGATTTGTGGGACAATTCACATAAAATGCTTATCTTTATAGACCTAATGGGTGAGAAGGGGAAAGAAGCAATGTAGTTAACTAAGATGATGTCTTGAGCCAAATACTATAGTAATACCATACCACCTTAGATAGGAACAGTAGATCTGTTCACTGCTTCAACATGACATACAGAAGGTCAGCTCATAAAGTGTAAGGTTACAGCCACTCTTCTAGTAGAAATAATCAAAACAACCACCTTACCTTCCTGTTTTAAGAGTATAGAGTCACTCATAGCAAATAACTCAGAAGTGTTTCATTATCACCAGTGAGTGCTACTTAGCTGTTTAAAGCCAGGTTCATTGGACGTAGTTGGATGAAGACTGAGCAAACTCCCTTAAGGAAAGGCTTTGTAGTACAGAGGGTTAAAATAGTAGAGCCTTTGATGGGCTCATGATAACAAGATTAACATGGACAGAAAGACTTTTGAGGGTAGTGATAAGAGGAACAGATTACAAAGAGCAATGAACTGGGTCAGAGTCAGAACAAACAGCAAACCTGATCTCCTTGGCAGCATATAAGCAGTAGGTAGAAGGGTTCCTGGATGTCTGGATGGTATGCCCAGGCTGTCTTTCCTGGGTTAGTCTACCCTAGCAAAAGTAGAGTTGCTAGGATCAGGTGTCAAAAGAATGCCCCCGTTGTGAGAAAGGTGACTAGTGAGCTGCAGAGGCTGCCAGTAAGTGCTGCAATGGCAGTGTTATGAATGATGGAGTGCCACAGTCTCTTACGTGGTCACCAAGGTAACTTTGGTGGTTGTCCCTGTGAATCTTGGCAACCATTTGAGTATGGAAGGAAGTTGAGGAAAGGTATAGAAGAAGTTGTTGCTGTACCTGAGAAGGAAGACAGTCCTGATGAGCTATTGCCCATCTTCTCTCTTGAGGGCTTATCTAACCCAAGTGATGAATGATAGAGTTGATGATCTAGAGGACAATTTGGCATTCATTCAAGGTGGAAGTTGTTCAGATCTTATACTCTGCTATCTTCTGACTGAAACAGGAATTGCCACTAAAAAAAAAAGTAGCCTGGTTAAGTACCAGTTCAAGGAAGCAGTAGAGTGACCTTGTGCTACTCTGTTGGTTCTTGTAGAAGGTTGTCATAATGCTCTCTGTGTTAATATGTATTGTGTGGCCCAAAAGCATTGTTGGGAATGCCCTAATTGCCTTCATTGCTGCTAACAAGTCAAGGGCATAGGTGTGAACTTAGGCTTCTGCTCATATCCACTTCTTAGGCACCTGAACTGGTATGCAGTGTGCACTTCATTCCTTAAGGGCTGTGTCTCTGGTCACCAGGAAGAAGACTGATGGTAACCTGAGGGTCACCTCCTTCAAG